TTAAATACTCTAGGAACAACAAGTAGGCCTGCAGAGCGAGAGCGAAGTGCTCTAATAGGGTGATATGGTACTACAAGGTCATTAAGATAAGATGGGGCCTATTTCTTCTGTACACATGACAATAAACACTTTGAATCGTGAATAAGATCTGAGTTTAGGTACTATCTTGATCAATGTGCTATAGAAGTATGCAACAACTCAGACATCAGCTTAAATAAAACTATATTTATTATTTCACTGGTTACTCAGCAAATGAAAGGAAAAAAGGTGGGAAGCTTCACAATTGTATTATTTATATTCAACATATGTATAATTGCACAAACAGTGGCAACAAGCAGACCCAACTTTAAAGGGAGGCACTGCTGTAGTGATTCAACAGCTAGCTTAGACCTCAATCACAAAGGCCTAGAGATCCGGTATCCACAGGTCACCAGGACAACTGGGTGCATGGAGGTTATTATGAGTCACTTGGTGAAACTGGTTGCAAGGACGATGCTGCACCGATTACCTCTTTCGGATGGCTTTGGTCGTTAGCAGGTTGCCATGGCCGCCCACAGTTATGGTAGTTCTGGGAATGGGAGTTTTTCCTTCCCGCTGTCACCAAGTGCTTGCTCATAGGTGGTCGTCTGATTGTTGGGGTTAAAGTGGCTTGAGACAACTGCTGTTGTGTTCTGTATAGAAAATCTTGTCTGCAATTATAACCTAACTATTACCAAAAATGGAGAAAGTTTGCCTTCAAAGTCAAGTTATGCCTTTTACTTTGAGGTACAACTCTCTGTTTTCGCTACCGCTTGGAGAGAGCAGTTGGCAAGTGTTTGCAGGTGTTCAGTGTAAACCTCTTTGTGACTTATTTCACCTTGTGACAAAGGTGAGGCGTATTCAAGGAATACACATTTAATCCTCATGACCGGTGATTGCCAGATGGTGACCAGCTGGTCTAGACCCGTGTGACTGAGGCCACAGCACATAGCACTCTATATATCCTGAACTCACGGCATCCTGGACCTGACTCGCAGCTAAATGCCAAACTAACTGATATTACCCTTCACACTTCCATTGAGGCAATGGCCAGGCCGGCTCCAGAATACAGAAGTAACTTAACATTGGATAAAGAGCATTAATGTCATTCTCTAACTGATTTGAACACCTATTTATGGTAATATGTGATTGAATAGTGCAGTTACAACATCAGTTGGATGGCCAGACTGACAAATCACAGCCCTCTAACGACATCTCCAGGAACTTGACATTTGGGTCATACATCCACTTTGAGGATATTGAAAAATGCCCAGATGGTAGAAGACCTTCTTGAATCCGAAATAAATAAATTGAGTTGCTACAAAGTAACAAAATTAATTGATACATCATTTAATATTAAATAAAATAACCTATAAAAAGAGTCCTGGATCCCTGAATACATCTTTAATCGAGACAATTAATTTTTGGATTATTTCATTTACTCAGTCCCTCAAAGAGATATGTTCACATAATTATACACATCTCTTTATTACTGTTGTAGTTTTGGACATCACATGAATAACACTGAATACTTTAGGGCAGAGGTTCCCAAAGTGTGGGCAAAAGGTGCAAACACATAGAAAATTTTGGTTTTTTAAAAAAATACCTGTGTACATGTGGGCGTAGCCTGAGTTTTTTAAAAAATCTCAGTTTTTGGTGATTCGAAACACCATTTACGTGTGGACGAAAGGCCCAAATGC